AAAACCAAAAGTGTTTTTACTTTTTTATGCCTTTTGATTTTATATGCTTTTTGATTTTTATAATTTTTGTACATGCTTTTTGATTTTATATGGCTCCCAGAGTCATCATTGGAGGGGAAAAAACAAGGAGAATCAAGCATGGGAAGTTTGCATGGACCAGGAAGTAGAACATATAGCTTAGTCTATGTTCCCCTGGCCAAAATTCAGTCACAAGCAAGAATTTAACAGAAGAACTGGGGTCGGTGGGCACGGGTGCAACCACAGTTAAGAAAATTAGATCTTGGCAATCTTTATATGTGTTCTAGATGATGAAAGATTGAACAAAATCACAATGAAGAAAACAATAAAAGGAACGATAAAACAAACTTCTAAACAAACAATAAAAGAGAGTGTTGTTTTCATTAGCAGCTGGCCAAAACAGAGTTGGCAGATAACGATAGAGCAGTTGTTGATTAAGAGCAGTATCCGAAATAAGACACTAAGCATCATGGGAGGGGAGATGAATCCCAACAATGAAATCAAGGAAGTAGCATTAGAAGGAGACTGAAAAGAACAATTGGTGCTTTGGAATTTCCATCTCTATGGAAGCCATCCTGTATAGACACAGAGATGAGATATTTCCAGATTTGCAATGAAGAAATAACAAACTGCTTGGGAGGTTTTGAGTAGCGAGGATCTATATTCAAGAACAGTTAGGAAGGCTTTTGATAAAGCAGACTAGGTAAATTGGCTTCCAAGTGTAACATTGGCAAAAATAGGCATATCGTGAAATTTGCTAGAATATAGAACTCCTTTTAATAAACGATATTTTCTTTTCGATTTTATAGTTTCAAAACTTAGTGGTCCATATATGGTTTATTAAATGTGTGCATGTGTAGGGCAGAAGTATTATATTAAAATTATTTAAGTCGATTTAATAAATGTCAATTTGTAAAACATAATTTCCTCCACAATATCAAATTATATGTGTAGGCATTTCACTATAAATTCCAAATAAAATTTAATGACAAGATCTTGAAAAATTTAGGGTTAGAAATAGAAATAGATATATGGATTTATATGTTTATAGATATAGATAAATTACCAAAGCAGCATTCTTACTTTTCTTAATGTCACATTCCAAGTGGATTTAGACTTGTGCCAAAGAATAGTATCTATCAACTTACTATGCATTTGAATAGGAAATTGATGTGGAAAATATGAGGCAGAGTTGAACTGAATATGTACTAAGCAAACTAATAACATTTTAACATATAGAATTTGTGCTCTTGCAAACTTAAATATAAAAAAAAAGTCTTCATATATGGACTCATGATTTATTTTTTTTCCATTATAATTCAGGAAGTTCAAGAAACCAAAAATTTCAGATGTAATTAATATAAACTAAATCAGCAAACTTTAATAATACTCAAAACAAAGCTTACTTTGCTTACATGTTAGAAACTTTCCATGCATTAACTTATTTAGTACTTAGAATAACTCTATGAAGTACATTTTTAAAGTGGAAGAAAATGAAGCACAGAAACATCTGAAAACCTCTCCAAGGTGATACAAATAATAAATGGTGGCATCCATTATTTTACACATACTAATTTTCCCCAGAATCTGTAGCCTTTATCTCTGTGCCAAACAACCTCCCATAATATAATGTTATTTTTTATATTAAAACATGTTTTCGACAATCCTTTTTTTTCTTTAAAATTTACATAGTTCTATAGAGTTTATTAATCTATCCTCTTGGAAAACAAAACAAATGCTTTCCTTCATTTATTTACATCAGATAATAAAATCCATGAAGTAAATTTCATCTCTATCATATGAAGCTCACTCTATTTTTTTTTTTAAACCCAAAGACCCAATCTGGAATGTATAAATAATAAACTGTAAATGGAATCCCACTGGGTCTTGCTAGCATTACCATAGTTATAACCAGGAAACAATGCCAAGAATACCACATTTCTTGCCAGTTCTCAGCACCATTGGCTACTCAACTGAGACAGTTGAGTCTCTGCACAAACTCACTTTTTTGGCTAATGAATGACATTCAAGCAAACAAAGGGTTGATTCTTGAGACAGCTGCCTCAATTCTAATTCTAGATTTCTAGCCATACCAATGCAATCTTTAACTGATCTGCTAGACTACTTTCACAAATAGACAAAGAAACAGACAAAAGGACTGCCAGTTACAAGCCAATAATGCACATATTCACTCAACACATAATTTTCCTGTGTGTCAGACACAGCGCCATGGGTATTCATTCTGTGCTCATACAAACCCTCACAAGGCTGACCTATTCTGTCTCTAGAGGAAGGTGGAGTACTATGTACCTTTCTCACCCAAAACTCCTTTAACTCATCTTTTCATTACAAATACCCAGCCAAACAAAATGTCAAACCATATATAGATACATAGATATGTAGATATTTATTTTACTTGAATAGTCCCTATATCAAAGTGCTGTTTTCTTAGAAGTTCAGAAATGTTAATATGTATCAGTTTGGCAAAAATATCTTTACTGGCAAAGGCATTGTCTTTGAGAGAGGTAGCCCATAACTGGATAAGATAAAAATATATGTGCTGTCTCTAAGAAAGCAGAAGAGAGATATAATATAAAGGGGATACATTCAGCAGAAATATTGATTATAGGCAAATGAATACAAATTCAAAGAAGCACATTCTTAAAGAGGATCCAGGGTCAACAAAGTAATATGAGAAAGAAAAAAATGTCTGAAAAAAGTTTCATGGGTGTGAAATCAACTGAGCAAAAAGAAAACAAATTGTTCAGAGGGCAATTGCCATTACTTGAGAGATCATAGTTAGGAAGCAGCAGGCTACTGGGTTGGTACTGTTCAGTTTCATTTAGGGATGCATATGATTCCTGGAAGAAGAAAGTTTCTAAAATTAGGTGAGTGGTGTAGGTTTAAAGTGGAATCCTCATTAAGAGCAGGAGTTGTCCTGTGTTGTTTATTCACTGCAAAAGCAGAGAGCTTTCAGGGCTCTTTCCTCTCAGTTCCAGTGTTAAAACCAAGCAGTTGACCTTTAAGAAGCTAAAGGATTTGAAATTTGCATAGAGGTTTTTTCATTGTTGTTGCTCCTTTGTTATCCCTGAAAAATGCTTTAGGATAACATTTTGTTTATACTACTCAGGAGATAAACAAGTATCCCTTACTTTTTCCCTTCCTTCATCTGAAGTACAAATTTTAGGTAAACAGGAATCTATTTACTGATTGCTGTAAACAATCAGTACAATTTACTGATTGAAAATTTTAGGGAAACAGGGATCCTCAAAGCACATGGAAACATTTTCACTGAGAAAGACTACTCTAGGAAGAGTTAGGGTTCCAGGATCATCATGATGATGATAATGACGATAATAATGATAATTATAATAAAGAAATTGGAAAAAAAAATCTCATGACATCTATATTCTCCCTTACATGATGGGAATTTTCAAGGTAGATATGTAGATTGAAAAGGGACCTATTTATTCATTCAACAAATATCAAGAAAAAGGGCAATTGGGAGGAAAATGAATATTGAATCTGTGGAATTTTGTTTCTTTGAGGGAAAATTGCCTGAAGATATGGTATAATCAGTAACACTTCCCCTTCAAAGTTACTATAGAAATCTGAGCGATTATAGCTACCAGGGAGAGGCAGTGTCTTATTATCTTTAACAGCTGAACAGTAAGTATGGATAGTCACCCTCATATTTTCACCCCCCCCCATTTGGTCTGCTCACTTCTAATTTTTCACCCATGTAGTCTATCCATCATAAGGCTCTCACATTTTTTTCCCCAAGATAGAGCTCTGACTATACAAGCAAACAAAAATAATAACAAAAGTCCAATACCTTCAATGACTACTTATGGATTATATAGTAAAATATATATTTTTTAAAAACCAGGCTTCAAAGACTTCCACCAATGAATCTCGGTCCTAACGTCTCAGTCTTCCTTATCATTTTCTAGGATTTTAGCTTATACCCTATTGGCACATGTCTCTAATTATTTCCACCTCCGGGCTTCTCATATTCTCCTCTTGGAGGAAAATGATTTTATCTAACTCCACATGTCTACATCCCATCCACCTCAAAATTCATGTGCTTTGGTCAGCAATTCTTTCATATCCCAACAGTGAAAGTAAACCTTCCCTCTTTGAAACCCACATTCCACTGTATCTTGACAAGTTATCAATCTCCACCAGTAGTGTCATTATAGATGTGTTGCCAGTATTTTCCTACTCATTCACAAATATCATTATATACAATGTCTTTTTAGCAGCAAGCTTTCAAAGCATTGCTAGATGGGAGTCAGTAGTAAGAGCATATCAATCTTTTTACAGTATCAACCCCAGCTGATCTTGCACTATTTAATTTTCTGTTAGCCCTGAACTATGTAGTATATTATACAACCAGTTATATCATACGAGCTTGGAATTACGTACTATTTGTATTGATCAGTGCCTTTATTTGTTTTCCGCTTAAATACAGAATTGTATAGTGCAAGAGTGGACATCTTTAGAGTCAGAGAGATTTAGATTTGAAATTAGCTCTGACGTTGAACAGCTCTATGTACTTGAGCAAACTATCAACCGCATTAGAGCCTTAGTTTATTTCTAAAATAGGGATAAAACCATCTCTATTACAATATATTTGTGAAGATTAAATTGGAAGATTTATATTAAGCACTTTGGACATGGAAAGTTTTAGGATGAATTCCAGTTTTTTTCTTTTGCTATACCATCTCATGAGTTACACTGTTTCTTCTTTAAAAAGAACATCAATACCTCACTTTTTAAGTATCTTCTGAATGTGTGACAGAGTTGACACAGGTGGCATGTAACTAATGCCACTGACCGGGTGTGGTCTAAACAAGGACAGAAACAGTTTTACTCAGAGTTTTCAACATTGTGCCTAAAATGAGAAATCATTCTGCAATGGTTAGAATCCAGGTCAAACAGTCTGAGATCTGATTCTAGATCTACAAGACATTACTTACTAGCAGTGTCACTTTGAGACAGGTCCTTTACTTCTTTGATTCTCCATTTCTTCACCTGCAAAAATGAGGACATTGGACTAGATCCGTGATTTCTAATTTCATTAACATTTCACAATTTATTGGCTTATTTATTCTATGAATAAAATTTTATGAAAGTGACTAAACTGGAAGCATTAAATTCAGACCTACTCTGGATGATACAAAGAAGAAATTTAGGACTTCCACCTTTCAGTCCCTTCCTGTAGACTAGACTATGTCTGGCTTAAATCTAGTTAAGGATTTACAGAGGGTGAACGAAGAATTCTGATAGGTAATCAGCCAACTCAGGCCTACTCAGAATGTATGTATAAAATTACACACTTTATCCATTCATCCATTGAGTAACAATTTAAGTTGTTTCCCTATTTTTGCTTGTCAATAATACAGATATCTCTTCAAGATACTGATTACAAATACTCTGGATATATATCCAGAAGTTGGATTGCTGGATCATAAAGTAGTTCATTTTTTTGAGGAACTTCCATAATGTCTTCTATAATTGCTGTGCCAATTTATGTTCCCAAATGTCTGTTTACTGATGAATGGATAAAGAAAATACGATTACACACACATATGTGTGGGTGTGCACAAGCACACACAAACAAACATGGGGGGGAATATTAGTCAGCCTTAAAAAGAGGAGGAAATCTTTCCATTTGTGACAACATGACGAATCTGATGACAATATCTCAGTGAAATAAGCTAGATACAGAAAGACGAGTACTGCATAGAGTAAAAAATTCAGAGATGGTGAATAGAAGGGTCATTATCAGGGAGTGGAATATGGGAGATGCTGGTCCAGGGATACACAGTTTTCATTATGCAATCTAAATAATGTTTAGAGATCTAATATACAACAACGTGACTGTAGATAACAATACTGTATTATAAACTTGAAATTAGGGGCACCTGGGTGGCTCAGTTGTTAAGCGTCTGCCTTCGGCTTAGGTCATGATCCTAGGTCCTGGGATTGAGCCCCACATCCAATTCCCTGCTCTGTGGGAAGCCTGCTTCTCCCTCTCCCGCCTCCCCTGCTTGTATTCCCTCGCTCACTGTCTCTCTCTCTCTGTCAAATAAATAAATACAATCTTTGAAAAAAAATAAACTTGAAATTAGCTGAAAGGGTAGATCTTAAGCATTCTCAAAACACACACATGCACATGCTAACTATATGAGGTGAGGGCTGTTACCCAGCTTGATTGTGGTGAATATGTCAGCATACACATATATCAAATAATCAAGCTCTATAATTTAAATATATACAATTTTTAATTGTTAAATATTAAGTCAGGTGACCTTTTAATTTTGGGGTGGAGAGGGGAAGAAATGCCAAACTTTAAACCACTCTTTATATCCAATGAATATTTTCTAAATATTATTTGATGCTACAAAAGTTATTTTACCATGTATTGTCTAATTAGCTGTAAATTCCAAAGTGAAAATTTCACAACTCTAATGTTTAAATAAATAAATAAATAAATAGCATGTATTGGCTTATAACGGCTAACACATATATTAACGGCTAATCAGATATTGATGTTTTGTGTTTTAAAGCCTATCCTGGGTACAAAACTCATGTGAATAAACTATCTCTACACTTTCTCAATATCACTTAGAGTGTTTCAGGTTGACCACAATATCATAGAACAATGTACAAAAATTGTGCCAGAAATCATGCAAGAAATTCAACATGTGCTTTGGAGTCAGAAAGATGGTTTTAATATTTTAACATCATAGTTCTGGCAAATGTACTTAAGGTCTTCAAGCTGCAGCTTATCGGTAAAATGCAAATCAAAATATTGATCCTCCTTGTTTTTGTCTGTGTGTTTTTTGATTATTAAGTAATATTCAGTTCAAGAAAGTACTAGTTCATATGATGTGCCAATGAATATAAGTTCCTTTTTATTTTAACTTTTAATACTTTCCCATATATAGTGAACATTGCTTGGCACAGAGTGTAAAGCAATGTCAGCAACTCAACTTTTTAATGGTTTCTTTCACAGTGGTTTCTAACTTTCTAACCTTTTGAAGCTGTTAAAATAAAGTCAAATAATGATACTGCTGTGGCATAAGTGTATACTAGGATCAATAAATTGTGGTTGTTGGAATAAATTGCAATTAAAGGGGTAGTACTTGATTGCTTGACAGTAGGTAGTCTTTCTGACCCAAATAAACTTAAGTATTAGTCTGATTTACAAGCTAATTAGTATGGACTTCACATGCATTTCATTGGGAGACAATCAGATCATACTGACTTCTGTTCACATCATGAGTGTGCCCTTGAAATTGTATTCTGTCACTTATAGGTGACAAGTTCTCTTTATTTATTTACTTTGTTTATTCAAGAATATAGTCATCATTTTTTTTTAAAGATTTTATTTTTATTTATTTGACAGATAGAGATCACAAGTAAACAGAGAGGCAGGCAGAGATAGAGGAGGAAGCAGGCTCCCCGCTGAGCAGTGAGCCCGATGTGGGGCCGGATCCCAGGACTCTGGGATCATGACCTGAGCCTAAGGCAGAGGCTTTAACCCATTGAGCCACCCAGGCGCCCCTATAGTCATCATTTTTAATCAAGTAGAATATACAAGAAATTTACAATGTTTGCAAATAAACACTCAAAAATCTAAAAACGTCAGTTTTGCCACTGACCTTTTTTCTCCCTATTTCTATGCATTTAAAATAAAAATATGCATGCAATCAGACTTGACAAAGGCATCAACATAGTAGGAAGGATGATTATTACTGAATTCTTGAAGCAATAGAAAAATACATATAAGCATCACTTTATGGGCTAGAAAACCACAGGATAGGTATTTCAAGACAATAATATAAGCATTAATTTATAGGCTAAAAAACCATAGGATAGGTAATTCAAGACAAAATATTTGAATAATACATAAAAAGAGACAAATTTGGGTGCCTAGGTGGCTCAGTTGGTTAAGCAGCTGCCTTCAGCTCAGGTCATGATCCTGGAATCCCAGGATCTAGTCCCATATCTGGCTCCCTGCTCCACGGGGAGTCTGCTTCTCCCTCTGACTCCCCACTCTTGTGCCTTCTCTCTCATTCTCTCTCTCTCTTAAATAAATAAATAAAATCTTTAAAAAAAAAGAGAGACAAATTCTGTCCCCAAATAAAGACACATGCTTATCTAAAGTATAATTTTGTTTATTCTTATTTTTCTTTCACTGCAGTATTTTTATATGATAAATTCTGACATATGCCTGTATAATTATCTAGTGAATATGGGACATTCATAGACTAAATCAAGGTAATTTAAGCAATCCTTTGTGTTGTAAATTGCATTAAGTTATACCATGTGTTTTCCTCTACTATGCATTTACCTACTACTGCATTTCCTGCTATAGATTAAATACATTTTCGTTAAATGAAAAAATGACAAAAATGCAATTCTTCAAAAGGCACAAGGATATATACGATATGACTGTTTTAAAATTAAGTATCTTTTCCATTTAAATAACAAAAGTCAGAAACACAAGAAAAAATCCCTGGTGCCATGTCTTCCCTGTTGCCCATATTTATGTTAGATATTTATGTTAGGTTACTATGTTACACCCAATAAAACTCATGTCATATTTATTATACTTCTGTTATTTAATTTTCTGTTTCTTAGCCTTATTTTCCTTTCCCAACCTCTCTTCAAAAGAAAGCTTTGCAAAGGCTAAAGAAAGACTAATCTATTTGTACACTGATCACCTACCTTAATTGTACCTTAATCACCTACCAGAGTTTCTGTCTCATAAGTGTTCAATAACTATTTTTTGCATAAGGAAACTCATCACAAATATTACTATAATATAATATAGTATATATAATATACTATATTATATATAATAATATATAATATATAATTATATATAATATGATTTTATACTTATATTTATCTATATTTATATTTAATATATATAATTATGATTTATAATTATACTATATTATATTAATATACTATATTATATACTATTTATATATAGAATATTATATTACATATTATATATTATACATACTATATTATATATAGAATATCTATATTATATTTATATATAGAATATCTTAAATATCTTTTATGTCTGATGTTAAACTGTATTAAATTTACTTATTTAAAAATTTTTTTCCATGTTTTTAAAAAGATTTTATTTATTTATTTAAGAGAGAGACAAACAGAGAGAGCATAAATAGGGGCAAAGGCAAGAGAGAAGCAGACTCCCTGCTGAGCAAGGAGTCTGAGATGGGGCTTGATCCCAGGACACCTGGATCATGACCTGAGCCAAAGGCAGATGCTTAACAGACTAGTCCACACAGATGCCCCATTTCTTTCCATTTTTAAATTTAAATTCAATTAATTAACATATAATGTATGATTGAAAACTATATTAAATTTAAGGAATTATACACAAACTACAATATTAAACTTTAGGATCAATGACAGCATTTTAAAGAACAAAATAGTATTATCCTAAGATCAAAATGCTGAAATAAATGTTTCAATATGAAAATTAGAAGCATTTCATGAACAAAATTATGAAAATACAAATTAGAAACAAAATCCATTCCCTAGCTCTCAGTTAACATCATCAGAAACAAGAACTTGTGCTTCTTGAGTGTAAAATATGTCTATTGACCTTATTCTCCCCAGGATTTAACACAATACCTGGCTCATTATGAGGACTAAATTTGTGTTTTAAATGCATTAATGAATCAATCAATTGCCTGATTCAGAATGTTTAAAAATAGCAAAACAGTGTATAAAATATGTGGAAAACAAAATAAAGACTGGAAAAATATAAAAATGTATGATAGAAATTTAGCTAATATGCCATGAACTACATATGCTATAGTTTTATAAGATTCGGTATTATTCTAAGATGCAAGTGATATTAGAATTCCAGAAAATAAAATACATATGAGTAGGTAGGTTGAAAAACAAATTCCATTATCCTTTTCCATTTTACGTTCAGTGTCATTAGAGTTGGAGAAATCATCTGAGAGCATCTTTTC